GCAATTCTCATCTTTGATTCTATCCTGTCATTAAGAGAAAAAATTTGTGGTCTAGAGTTAGTTGAGTTGCCATTAAAGTGAAAATAATTTAAGACACTATTTGAAACAAGGACAAATTTAAATCGAGGTAGAATCATCTGAAAGCTTTGTTCATTTAGATCAATTAGAATTATTGTATGAAATAATACAAATTTGGCAGAAAGTACATAGACTTGGATTTTATAGTTATGAAACGAAAATTTTCTATTATGAAACTAAGTTTCATATGTATCTCCCTGAAATTGTTGTATTGACACAACCTAGTAAATTTTGTGTTGACCAAGGTCTTTGATTGGTACTGACTTATTTCAGAATAGCTCACCTTAAGTTTATAAGTAAAATTAGCAAAACTGATTGTCTCATTTGCAGCTGAGTTTGTGGCTATAAAATCTTTTGAGTTTTCCTTCTTTTTCCAGAATCAAGAGTCTTTCTCCTCTGATCCGCCCATCGAATCTGAGGAGGTATGAAATTTGAATTTTATTTTATTTATGTGTGCTTAGTTAAGAGGAAGATTTACAACTTAGGTTTCAATTGAATAGAAAATAAATGAGGCCCTTAAAGTGTATGCATTTTCCATGAAACTCCCTTCTTGAATACCATATTTATAGATTGGAACGTTTTGAATAGTGCTGTTTGATGGATTTTTCCTATTATATATCGCTGCTTCTCTAACCTGATTTGGATGTAAAACATCATTTTTATTTAGCCTTAAAGTGTCTATTATGGACTCACTAGTGTTACGACAATGCTTACTCTCATTGATTTTTCGTGAAAAGTTTAAATCCTCATTCCTTTCTTTAGGAATACACCACGAACAATGCTGAGGTACTTTGAGGTTTTCGTTTTATTTTTAAAAAAGTTTTTTGGCTTCCTTACATGATGATATCCATTGCTTTGCTGCATTATCAACTTTATTTTAATTTTGCACTTGCAGGTACAAGATCTCGAAGTTCCAGAGGAAACTGAAGAATCTAAAGAGGTAATTTTCTTATTCCAATTCCATGAATGTTTATATTACTTTTTAATCATGAAATTGGAGGCATTTCTAAAACTGGAATCAATACGTCAAATGCTCTTAATAATCTTTCGAAATTTGTTTATTATTTAGGCAGGCTGATCAAATTGTATATGATTAATATAGAGTAAGCAAAATTTTCCAGCTTGTTGGTATCCAATCGATTTTTTCCACTATAATGTAATTGACTTCACACCAGCAATTATTCAGTTTAACTAACTAAGCCGAAACAGTGACTGTTAGCCATTGTCTTTCTTTCTCTTCTTAAGATGTTTAATTCTTAACATATAAGTTGTGGCTTTCCTGATAATGAAATCCCCCATTCGTTATTATAGCCAGTGCTTTATATCATTTTGTAGATTATAACTATGACTGCTTAGCAAAGACTTAGTTATGTATTGGGACATAGTTCTCCAATAAGTGTGCCTTCTTAAGAGTTGAAGAGCGTTATTAAATTACAATTATTCTGCCATCTTATCGTGTCTTATACTTCATAGGTCAAGTAGCAATATAACAGTTGTAGCGTAGTTTATTTTGTTGACCTCGTATCGTGGCCGTTCACATCATTAACATGATTATCTCGTGTTTGATCTGCTGCAGGAATTGACATTTTACCATATCGTCCCTTGTGAGTTGGAAGATCTTCTTAGGCCAGCATTAAACCACAAAGGGTTATTACTCATATTTGAGTATCAACTTATTGTGAATATTTCAAATAGACGTTTTTGTCAATACATATTGTCGCTTCTCACGAATGGTACAATTTTAAACTGATTTCTGATCTGTTGGTTGCCTAAGTAAATTCCCGGTATAATTATAATGATCTTTTCAGCTGTGTCTGTGTGCATCTCGATCGGCTGTTATGTTACTAACATCGGTCAACTTGATTTTGGGTCTTTGAAAATTTTATTTTCATTTTATTGTCAACTAGGAAATTGAACAAAAGCCAACACCGGTCGATCCTAGTCAATTTAAAAAACTTGATATTGGGGTAATTTAAATGTGATTTCATCTTATTTTTAATTTTTTCCTCTCTAGTATGAAGGTCATTATTAATTTTTCCACTTTCCTAAAATATTAACACCAAAGTATTTTGTTATATGAATTACGGAGGCATATTTTATTCATTGACACAAGGATTCTTTTGCTAGCAATTTTATAATTCTGCATTACCTTAGCGTTTGTGATAATACATAATTCTATGCTCTTTTTTAATGCAGGAAACCGAGCATGAACTTACACAAGTCGATCCAATTCAGCCATTAACACCGGATGACAATGTACGATTGTCTTATCCCTCTTTAAATAATTAGTTTTCAACTATGCATTGCCGTAAAAACATTGGCAGTAGAATTTTATGCAAATAGCATACTGCAGAACAGCTTTTCTTATTTTATTTCAGACAGTTCTTTTCCCTCCTACTAGATCAATCATGAATCCAATGTGAGGGATATTCTATTCGTATCTGCTATTACGGATGAAAGTCAAAACCCATCAGTAGGTTAAAAGGCTACAGTGCATTTAGTCATCCAGATGATTTTTTCTTATGCTTAATTTTTTTGCTTTTAGGTCCTTTCGGAGAGTTGCGAATTGATTAAACCCATTTCCGGAGCGGCTAAATTATCCACTCAAAGTGAAGAGGTTGCGACTGCGCCGAAAACGGACCCCGCTTCCGCCAAAAAGGTGAGTTTGATTTGACTGGAATCTTGGAATATTTGCGGTGCGAAAAGTAGCCGGTTGTTATCTAACATAATCTTATTCAGAGTGAAGAGAATGTGTTTTCGGAATAAAACGAAAAAAGGTAAGTCCGTTAGTTCCCGTAGTTGCCGTTTGGATTTCAACTTGCTAAAGCTTCGCAGTCATTCTGGCCATTCATTTTAGTGCTGTTTCATCTTGTTTCCTCTTCCTGTGTTTCATTTAACAATACTAGCGCACCCATTTTCTGATTACTGGCGAAGGACTAGTGTGCATGCATCTGGGACTTCTTATTTGTAATACATGTTTTCTTCGTTCCGATTTTAGAAAAGAAAAAAGAAATCTCGTTGAGTTTAATCAATGTCATATGTGTTAATCAAAGTTCATTCAAGTGATAACCCGTGTTGTACGTCTAAGTTAATATTATTTGTTACGGATTTATTATATACCTTGTTCTTTTTAGTTGTTTGTTGCCAATTACCTTTTCTATCTTCTTCTTGGTCAACGCCAATCCTGCTCTCTTGCTCTTTGCCACCGTTTCTTCTACTACTATCGTACACAATGATTTTTCTCTATTCCTTATTTTATTTTCCCTTTCCGCTTGTCGAGTTTTCTGTATTTTATAAGAAAATTGAAGGCCAATAAACACCATGTTGAAGTATGAAGGCTCTGAGTTGCATGAATGTGTCGTCCTGTTAGGATTGCTTTCTTTAACGCAAGTAATAATCTTTTTTAATGAGTCTCTTAGTAGTCGAACTAATGCACAAAATCAAATATTATCAAGCTAACAATAAACATATTGGTTCAATCAGTGCTTGAACTGAAAACAAGCATGTGTTTCTCCGAGTCGAAAGTTATGATTTTACTCTCCAAACCCCTTGATCAATAAAATAGAATTCCCTTGCACTAATAAGTTTGTTAGGTCAAAATTTCGACAAAGTTGGTGCTACAAAAGAAATTGGAGTCAAGGAGTAACCTATTTAAAATTGAGAAGCTCACTTAACTAGCACCAACTCACGCTTTTTTATCCATGTCACAGAACCGTAGGGGAAAGAATATGGCATTGACACTATCATTATTAAGATGTCTTCTTACAGGCAGTCAAATGGTCAATTTCGAAACTAAAAAGGATTCATACCTCGATTTTTTTTCTTAACAAGCATATTGACCGATGATTACTTTTAATAGCTCTATTTGATATTGGATGGATAGAATATGTTAAATTCCTCTTTATGTAAATCTGAAATGTTAAAACTTGATTCAATGCTATGAGCTATGAGAAGGAACCGAAATCTGGGCAAACTAACATTAACTACCTGTCTAAAAAACTGATAGGATAGGAAGCATGCATGAAATTTGAAATATTTACCTCTCTGCTAGAATTTAAAAATAGCAAAAGTTAATAATCACCTTAAAATAAGCTGGCACATTGTTCCGAATGCATGTCTGGCATATCAGAGGTTAAACGCTCGACTCCTATCGACACGAGCCCAGTAAGCTGAATGGCCAGAAGTACTAGTTAGGTCTAGGTAACAAAGAGGGATTTAGAATTTTTGTCCTTTATCAGAGGCCCAGTGATACCACTATTGTTTAAATCTCAATTTGAGCAATTGGCTGTTCAAACACTTACTCAAAGGTATTTAAGCGGTGCAATCATTATCCTAGTTTTTACTACTAAAGAGAATAACTAATTTCGGTACATAATAAGAAGAAATTTGAGCATAGGAAAAAAATGTTTATTATTTGCGAATAATTTCGGCTTTCAACTCGGAAAGTAATTTATGACTTTTAATTTAGAGAAAAATCATCCCTGTTAATAAATATGCAATACGCGTGAAAATGTATCATTTTTTGCCAAAATTGAGCATTCATTAAGATTTAAATGATATGAAATCAATTTATATAAGATAAAAAAAATTATGAGGTGGCTTAAGAATAAAAATGCATTTTTATATGTGAAATTAAGGAAGCAGATATAATTACACGGAATTCTAAATTGAAATCCCATCAAGTCAAATCATCAAGTAGTTCATATTATATGATGAAAAGTGGCTATATTTCAAAATTGCAAGATATACAACCGAATTAACAGGGTCTGGAAAAGTTTACTTGAAACACCATTAGGATATAATGCAGATCACAGAAATAGTCATGGTAGGATTGAATCGTGAGGATGTACAACCAATAAGACAACAATCACGTTATTATTGCACGAGAAATGAAAATGTAAATAAATGATAAACAAACGATACTATGGCCTTGCTGTGTAATTGGTGCTTATAGTAGGCTTCCAAAATATACTGTAATAAATAGCCAATATAATTGCTGCTAAAGAAACAGATATAACATACACAAAGACTGTTGCGAGACGAAGCCACTTTTTATTGTTCTTCTGCAACTTCATTTTGTTGGTTTCATTAGATTTATTAGGTACTCCCCGCCTTACAGTGTGAGCGAGTTTAGACCCAGTCATTGCAATTAATCCGTCCGAAGCGCCAAAACAGTGATTGGCCGAATTTGCTGGGTGAATGTAAGCAGCTGGTTAAAATGAATCAACGATATATTATAAGTAGCCATTCAATTTTCTAAAAATATGTTTTGGTAATGTATGTTACAAATTATATAATTTTAGAAGCTTATGAGGTGTAATTCTAATCAATTCCAATACTATTTTCTACCACAACTTTGGGTGCATATACCTAATGGATTTCATGTCTAAACGAATTTACTGTCAAGTACTAGAGTAACGCTAATTTCGTCCAAAGTTACAGTGTAATTGTTTAAAGCCAAAAATTTCTAATTTTCTCGGTTTATTTTTTTTGCACGAAACTTCAACTTAATAAAAGATTTAGTTCATCGCTTGTTAACATGATTATATAATGTTATTTGTGCTGGGCACATTATTGAAATATTTGATGATTAAACGGCACAATCAATGACTTTGTTAATCTGGTCCTATTCTGTGACTTTTTTGTAAAAGTTTCAATAAATTTCTCTTTACAGTCACCTTATTCTCCTCATTCACGTAAGATGCGGGTCCATTCCATCGGCCTAGCGGTACTTTATATCGCAAATGCAACTGTTTGTCTTATGTAGATATTGCCTGATTTTATTTCGCTACTACTTGGGGATGTATTAGTGTTCCGTAGATTTTATTGGATAATTAATCGGTGATTGCATTCAATATATGAATTTTAATTGCAGAAGTAATTGAGTACGAGTGCTATGCTGAAATTTGAAACAAATATTATTAATTATTTTCGGCAAAACACTAATTTTTAACTGCTAAATTGCCTAATTTAATAAAGTATGTCTCTTCCGTGTTCTCTTAAAACTAGAAGACTTAGTTCCGCCGCTATTATTCAAATCCATAGTAAATATCGCTAGACATCAGTTGTCTTAGGTCAGTTTGAGAAAGTCAGTGCGGAATGCATTTAACATAAAAAAATTTCATAAAATGGAGCATTATCGATATACTGGATTTGTCTCGATGCAATTGAATTTAGTAGTCTAAATCCCAACCGCATTGGTAATCATTCTGTGCCTAAGTTAATGTCAAGTTTTCGGGGCCACGTGCGTAAACACATCAATAGGTATGATGGACAATTTAGAAAAGATTTACGGAAATTGATTGCCTTTACAAAAGTACTAATGCTGCAGCTACATGCCTTTTTCCGAAACCTATCAAATTGTAATAAATAAAATTTTAATTGATTGTTTTTTCAAAACCATCACCACTAAGAAAATGGTATTTTCCAATCACTATAGGTTAAACTGTATCTTCATTTTGTAAAAATTACTTTATTTTGCGTAGGCTGCTTTTACTTTTCCTTTTAACAGTTAGTAAATCACTTTGCCTACTCTTAAGCTTTTACACTGACACACTAATTTATTTTGAGGACTTTACGAACTTTTCTGAATCAGACAATGCGCTCGATTTACTTATTGCTTTTCAAGTCTATTTTTCGTATTCATCATAAAGTATAATCGATATTGAATCGATAATTCCTAAACCGTTATATTTTAATTTGCGCTGCAAATATCCAAGCTAAAATATGTTTTTGGAAAAGACGCAATAAGTAGTTTCATATTCCTTGCTTTCTTAATTGGCACTTTAACAAGAAACTGTCTTGTAATCCACTAAAAATACTCTTATTATCATTAGTTAATATTAATTATCGACAAACGCTCTCCTATTTCCTTTGGAAATAATAATTTACCTTGAAAATCATTTATGCTCATTAAAATGATCTTTTCTGTATTGTTTGTTAAAACGCAGACTTATATTTCTGCAAAAAAATTTTAGTCTGGATTATAATATTTGCATAATATAAATATTCTGGTAATAATTTGACTAAATTTTGGATTATTTTGTTTGTTTCTTGCCAAATAACTTCTTATTCTCGTATCAATTATATTCACCGTGACATTTTACCTTTTTACAAGTATCATTTACCAAAATCTCGACCATTTTTACTTAAATCGCTATCCCATTGAGGTCCCTTTGCTTCACTTTGTTAAACGATTGATATTTAACCACAGGTGCGCTCAATGGATATTCGGGCATCAATGCGTATTGTGTTCAACACGTTAGAGAAAACATGATTGATTTTACCGGCTTTAAAATAGGAACAAATATCAAATCAACTATGCCATTAATTACATCAAGATGCGATAGTATTTTATGTTCCTTTTTTCGGGGCCCAACATTAATATAAGATGGCGGAGGATGGGGTTAAACTAATCAACAAATGAATACACTCTCGCATGATGTTGAGGAAAACTGATGATCAAATTCAACTACAGTTGCAATATTTGGATAAGCCCAACGTACGGATTTAGCAGTTGCTCTATCAACGGGTGCAGCACCATTGTCTCGTACCCCATATTTCCAATTCCTAATTGATGGCCGGTAGGTTTTTGATTCTAAAATAAGTTCAACATTTTTATATGTTAGCTCTAATTCACCACATAGTATTGTCTCACCCTAACTACTTACTGCCATCGCTCATCTAAGCTTAAGGGGACACACTTTACCGCTTTATATCAAAACACTGTAATATGTCGTAATATAAATTAGTTTGCTTAAATTCATATGAAATTGCAGAATATTTAAAAGAAATAATGTAAATGAATTCATAGTTTCAGTTCACAAAAGGGGATATCACAGTCACTCAAGTCTTGATTGATCTAGTAATACTGCTTACCAAGAACAGTTGGATTGAGTTCAACCTTCTTTGTTTCCACAGTTTTAGCTAAGGAAGGATCTCTGGAATTTTCGTCGTCATTTAAATCCTCCTGGGCATTCATTCTGTTAAGAATGTCATCCATGGTCAAGTAGATGGAAGAATCATTAGTAGCAAAGTAAGCATCTCTTCTAGCGCCGCATGAGAGCATCCAGCGTAAAATGACATCAAACTCGACAAAAGATGGGTCCAAATAATGTTTTAATTGGTTTCTCAAACGCTCCACCCATGCACCAGTTGGTTCTGACGTCTGTTGACGCAATTCTGGTATGAGACTAAGTGGAGGAAATTTCTGCAGTGGTATCTTTTGGTCTGCTGTGAAGTACGCAGGAGAGGCCGTATTACTGCGTTGTTGATACTCGTTGATTCGTTCCCGAACTCCAATTGCTGCTGAGGACATTTCTGAGTTGGAAACAAAACTAGGTGATCGACTCGGAGTATATTCGTCTCTGTTTCCGAAAGTCGGCGCAGGAGGGTAATTTCTTGAACGTCCATTGGAATTCTTCGAATAATTTTCACCATTTTGAGTATTTGAAAGAAATGGTGAAACACTGCTTGAAGAGCTATCACGGGAAAGGGCCTGCTCTTCTCTGGATAACGGTGTGGGATCTTCTACAAAAAGCGGGGTGGTTTTCGAAAATTCCGCATCGGATTTTTTTGACGGTGTCCTACATGGATTTAAAAAAATTTCTATATTAATTGTATTATCTGCCTTTTAATAAAATTAATTTAAGACACCTAAATACCAAAAGATAAAATAGCATAATAATGAATTATTTTCTTTCCTCTTGTCCAAAGTCTCAATTCACTTTCAAGAAAAATTCGTGAATGTTTTGACGAGTTGAATCAGACCTAAGGGATCTTCCATTAGTAGGAGTCCCAAAATTTAAATATTGTAAGCATACTATCGGACAGAGCATTCACTTGAATATTCGAGCATAAAAATTTCCCTCTAAAATTCATTTTCCGTTACTCACAAATTAAAATCATTTTTCAGTAGATTGAAAATGTATTTCGGGTTAATATGCTAATGCAAGAATAGAGATCACATTCGAATATATCGTTTATCCTATTAAAATGGAGTTGCCAAATCAATTATAAGTTTGTAGGTTCCTATATTATGAATTGTAATAGAAACACTGAGGTGAAAAGATTGCACGAATCTTTTGCCTATATGAGAACAAGATAATATGTAAACAGCCAAAGAAACCAAATCAGAAATTTAATTGATTACAATGAGCATTTTTCTTAAATCAGCCGGTCAATAATTACGTGGAGAGAGCACATAAGAGGTCACAGTGGTAATAAGGGAAATGATAAATAAAACTTAGAGAAGTGGGAGATGTGCGTCGGCACAACGTGAGCATAAACAGTTAAAATTTCTGAGAGAAGTTGACTGTCTGATGATGAATAATCAATACCAATCATGGTTTGATTAATGGAACACTGCAGTTACGGGTCAACGTGTGAATTCTAAAGAATGCTACCACATTATAGGTCTTTTGATGTGTTTGAAATTAAAATGACCAAAGTGTTGTGTGTTAGATTTGTCAATATCTTCAGTCACGTTGTTTTACTGACTTATTAGTATTTCAGTTTTAAATTCATTTGAAATGAAAATATTCCTGCTTTCCTATATATAAGGAATTAAATGTATTACATCAGTATATAATGATGGTTTAAATGAGAAAAATGGTTTTTCGTTGTAATCTACACCCCTTTTACATATGCCGTTATGTGCCTTTCAAGTGCTTAATCACTAAAAATTAATTTAATGTAAAATCTTACTAAAAACATTTACCCTTAGACACAGCTTAGTAGGTTAAAACATCGCTTATTGAATTTAACTTGTCAAATCACAAATCCAATAATGACCTCATTAACATTGGGAAAGTAGAAGGTTGTAAATGAAAATGGGATTAAATACAGTAAAACACGTATCCATTGGCTGAAGCTACAAAAATCCACCACCTTTACCAAAAAATCAGTATAAGAGATTTTCATTCATCTTCAATTCTCTAAATGTTATAACCTCGAGTGCTCTTATTAGAGATTGGGCTAGCACAAATGCCGTTCCAATTGTATTACCTCCACAGAGGGAGCAATTTAAAATCCAATAAGAAGCAAAATTTGGAAGACTTAATAGAAGTTCCTGGAAGAAGCATGATATCCAAAATTCTCGTATTTAAATTGAACTCGTTC